GCTTTTCCATGCTGATGTTGGCATGGGTCCTAAGGCTAAAATAGCCATTGCAAAGGGGAGGGGGCCCTTTCCAATGCATGGGTCGTGCCATGCCAGGCATGTGGGCCATGCTGACTTGTGTCCTTATGGGCCCTTACCCCCAAGCCCAATCGTGATTGGAATGGCATGGCATTGTAGCATACGAGCCATGTTGGTCTGGTCTGGCCTGTTTTGCACCTATAGTTAACTCAACTTGAAAATGACCATGACCCAAAGTTTCAAGTATTTGGATGACATACTATTATGGTAGGTAAGGATGACATTGAATGGTTTTTATGAATTTGTTTAAGTAATGAATAAACAGGTCAATCCCGTTAATTAAGGTCATGGGTTGTTTTGTGCTACCTGTGTATTTGGATGAAATACTATTATGGTAGGTAAGGATGACATTAAATGGTTTTTATGAATTTGTTTAAGTAATGGATTAACAGGTCAATCTTGTTAATTCAGGTTACATGGGTTGTTTTGTGCTATCTGTGTGATAAACAGGCCATATTTATGTCTGAAAATTTGGCACAATTAATTAATTGTGTTGTGTTCGTGTTGACTCATATATTCGAATACCCCTACCTCGAAACGACATGAATTAACACAATTAACCTTGTTTTGGTCATTGGCTTCTTTTACTTTTTTTTTTTTGTATTTTAGCCATTTTCAATCTTATTTTTATTAGTAAAAGTACTTCTTATTTATCAATCTTATTTTTATTAGTAAAAGTACTTCTTATTTATCAATCTTATTTTTATTCAATATGATGAATATATATTAGAGACATGCCCAATTTTTCTGTAATCTTCTATGTTTCTCTGTATATGTATTTTTATTATTCATTTTATGACATCATGGGTTGATCTATTCGACTTAGATGGTTGAACTGCTGAATTGCCACCTAGACAGAAAAGTGGTTTTGTTTTTAGATTGTTTTTGAAAAAAACTGAGTTCAAGTTAATTCTGATATTTCTCTGGGTTTAGTTGCTTTTTCCTTTCTCAAATTGGCCGCAAACTGGAGATGGATATAGATCTTTGAGGAGAGATTACTGAGTTGTTTGGTAAAAGATCTTATCATGAGCTTGGACACTGAATTCAAATAACTGTTCTCACATCTAAACTCACAGGACACAACAGGCGTGCATATCTCCCTTGTCATTCATGGGGAGATGTTCCCAAATCCCAATACAGTGGTAAGTCTTGCGGATTTGGATGTGGGAACAATTTGTGGGTAGCGATCTGGAGCCTCTTATTATATTTTCTGGTTACCACCAACATTACCAGAAAAGTTTTGTTTGGCTAACATGGTTATTGCGTTTCTTCCAAATTTGTATCATTGATTAATAGTCTTCCTGGTAAGGAATTTGAGCTTTTGTTTATCCTAAAATACCTTTGCTTTGGGTTCCGTCTGATGTTTCTAAGCCATTATTTTGTTGTCATCTTTGTGTAGAACCAAGGTTGCTGCTTGTGCAAAGCACTATGTGGGCGATGGAGGCACAACGAAGGGCATCAATGAGAACAACACAGTGATTGGCAGAAATGGATTACTCAGCATCCATATGCCAGCCTACCTTGACTCAATCAGTAAGGGTGTTGCAACAATCATGGTCTCCTATTCGAGCTGGAATGGGAAGAAGATGCATGCTAATTGGGATCTCGTGACTGACTACCTCAAGAATCACCTTCAATTCGGTGTAAACATTCTGATTTTGATATAACCATCCAACCTGGGTATCCAATTTTGCTTTAGAAGGACTAAAACTGATAGTTATGCATCTCTCTGGATACATTTCAGGGTTTTGTCATCTCAGATTGGATGGGTATTGATAGGATTACCTCTCCACCTCATGCTAATTACTCATATTCTGTCCAAGCTGCAATCAGCGCGGGTATTGACATGGTTAGTCAAACTTTTGATACTTTCCGTGGTTCTTAAGCTCAAAAGCTTGATCAAGTAAAAAAGTTGTACAAAGTAGTTTAGATTTCGAATTTGGTTCACAGTCCTTTAAAGGGTATGCTTTTTAACACTTATTTTGGGCATGTTGTAGGTCATGGTCCCTTACAACTATACAGAATTTGTCGATGATCTTACCTTCCAGGTGCAGAACAAAATTATTCCTATGAGCAGGATTGATGATGCTGTGAGTAGGATTTTGAGGGTTAAGTTCACCATGGGACTTTTTGAGAACCCACTGGCCGACCTCACCCTGGCTGATGAACTAGGAAGTCATGTTAGTCTTAACTCCATGATGGACCTTCTCTTTCTCTTTCTTTTTTCCTACTTCAGATGATTGAAACATCATGACCAAAAAAGTTAACGTCGATGCCTTGAACAGGAGCATAGAGAATTGGCAAGGGAAGCTGTGAGAAAATCACTTGTTCTTCTTAAGAATGGTAAATCTGCTGATAAGCCATTGCTACCTCTCCCTAAGAAGGCACCCAAGATCCTTGTTGCTGGAAGCCATGCTGACAACCTGGGGGCCCAATGTGGTGGTTGGACAATCACATGGCAGGGACTTGAAGGGAATAGCCTTACTAGTGGTAAGTAAGCTTATTAACTATATTCAAGTATGATTTGTATGTTTTGATTATTCCCAAGTTCCCTGAGAAAGGAAGCTCAAATGCTTCCATTTCATTATAAGAAAGTTAACAAATTCATCCTTCTATTGAGCAGGAACTACAATACTCGGTGCCATCAAAAACACAGTCGATCCATCCACCCAAGTTGTCTACAGTGAGAACCCTGACACCAACTTCATCAAGTCCAACAAATTCTCCTATGCCATTGTTGTTGTGGGTGAGCACCCATATGTAGAAACATTTGGTGACAGCATGGATCTTAAAATTCCTGAACCTGGACCAAGCACCATCACCAATGTTTGTTCATCTGTCAAGTGCATAGTTGTCATCATCTCTGGCCGCCCGGTGGTGATCCAACCATATATTGACTCTATAGATGCCCTTGTAGCTGCTTGGCTCCCAGGAACTGAAGGTCAAGGGGTTGCTGATGTTCTGTTTGGTGACTATGGGTTTACTGGTAAGCTTGCACGCACTTGGTTCAAGACAGTTGACCAGCTCCCAATGAATGTTGGTGACCCACATTATGATCCCCTCTTCCCATTTGGATTTGGGCTAACAACAAGGCCTGAGCATACCGAGCGACTCGAGGATCTATCATCCAAGGGAGAAAGAATATCAACCCAATTTTCCATTGTTTTAGTATTCATCCATGTTCTGTTTCTTAGTTTTTCTCTCCTTTCCATGGCTGTTTAACATTGTTAACATTTATAATTTATCACTCATTGAGCTGAGCTTCATTTCTGATTGCTTTCCAAGCAGATATCACATCCAGAGGGTTGGGAACAGAAGCCATGGAAGGGATCTACATTCCGACTATTAGATTCCCAGTGGATAACAAAATGGCAAGTTCCAAGTGTATTATGATTTAGACACCGTTGTTCAAATTGGGTTGCCCAATTTGAAGATTTCAACTAAATCATGCTCGGGCTAACTCAAAATTTAACAAAAGGAAAAAGCTAACCCAACCATAGTGAAATACCCCTAACCAGTGATTTTGTCCAGCGATTTTGGTCATTATGGCACGGGTGTTAGGGATCATCATTTATGACCTGGCCCAACCTGGCCTGGCCTGCCAGGCCCAAGCAAGCCTAGGCCCAGCCGCCCAGGTAGGCCCGAGGCCGTTGATGCCCTTTAAAAAGCCTATGGCCTGGCCCATCCCTATACTGGTTGAATAGTTAGACACAAGGTTCAAAATATCGATATGCTCGATACGCTGGTAGGGGCGTATTGCGTGATATCGATAGTGTGTTTTATGCTTTTTTTTTTTCAAAACCGGTTCAGGGGGCCGGTTTAGGGCTCTTCCACCCTCTGAACCGGTCAGAACCTGATACACCCTCTCTAGGGGCGTATTGGGAAGCCACCGGCACAATACGTATTGGCCGATACGGGCCAATAGGTATCGATACTTTGAACCTTGGTTAGACGATTTGACTTTCTCAAATAACAGTATAAAAATTAAAAATTTAGCTTCAAATTTTTTTTGAAGCTGTTTTGCATTAATATAAGCTTAAAACAATTTCACTAATCGCTTATTGGACTTATAACGTGTTTGGGATAACTTCGATCAAGACGTCATTTCCATCATTCCTAAGAACCGAAGAACCGCTCATTGTTAATTATGGGCAATGTTTCAACATCAGGGCCGGTTTAATTCTCAGGAATAGGGGTCTGGAATTGGAATCGGAATGCAATTCCAACTGTTTGGTTGGGTGGAATCGGAAGTATATTCTCATTCCTGCTGCAATGGCATTCTCCCATTTCAGGGAATGGCCCTTTCCTGAAACCTCCATTGGGAATGAAATCCCATTTCAGTTTATACCAATTTCGATTCTGATCCCTACGTGAATCATACACACTATGGGAATGGGAAAGTCTATAGGTAAGGTTGAAAATGAATATACAATGTAATGCACTTGGAATATGCATTGATAAAACTCTCATAAATGCCACATCTATACTTTGGGTCTGTTTGGTTCATAGTTGGAATCGGAATAATCTATTCCTACAGTGGAAATTGAAATCAGTAGGAATGAGATTTCATTCCCNGGGGGGGGGGGGGACGGAATAGCCATTTCCTCACATGGGGGAATGTCCCAAAGAGTTGGAACCGGAATAGCCTATTCTAGTTCCGATTCTAGACCCCTATTCCTGTGAACCAAACGGGGCCTATATATATAAATCAAGGTTGTCCACATCACCCTTGCTCTTCCTTTTCCTTCCCCTTTCATGTTTCCTCAACTCTCTCTCTCTCTTTCTCTCCTGTTCCCAATCACCTAAACCATCTCCCCTTCTAAAATATTTCGTAAACCATCTCTCCCACCTAAATCTTTCTCCTAAAACACCTCCTAATCTTATCTTACATGCCCAATAAACCATCTAATTGTAATATCTCTTTCTTTTTCTCTTGTTTCTATCTCTGTCTCTCTCCACCTTCCGTATAAATGCATTTAATTTTTTATAATGTATTAAAATATTAATGTTTAAGTTAATAATTAAATATTGAAATAATATGAATAAAATATCTAAAATAAAAGAAAACATAAATAAGACAATTAGACAAATACAAAAAGTAAAGTAATAAAATTTAGTACTTAATTAAAATCTTATTTGAATTATAAAAATATTTTTTTTTGTTTTAATTATAAAATGTATCATGGACGTTTTGGGGCCAATACATCACTATTTATTATTGATGTTAAAACGCTATTGTGTTCCTCAAACGAACACTATAACAGGAAGATGGGTCAAGAAGATGACTCTAATCATTACATAACCCAAAAAGTGATTGTCCTGATTTATTTAGTTATCATATTCAAATAGATCCTGATGATCCAGAAATTTTCTGTTAACATGTTTTTGTTAAAATATTAATTTAATTATTAATCAAATTTTTAATAAAATATTTTTTGTTATATTTTCAGAAATGTTTTGTTAAAAATTTTCTATGAATTACAGAGGTTGATTTTCAAGGACTTTTGGATCTTCAATTTGGAAAACAAGAGAAGCAAATTTGAGGCTTGATCTTTAAGGACTTTTGGATTTCAGGTAAAATGGAAGCATTACAGATGTTGGGAAATGCTCCTTTTTTTCCCCTTCCCTCAAGCTCAAGTTGGGCCTCCATTATAAAGGAAAAGGGCCAAAATTTGTCCACCTACAGTACTTAGGATTTAGCAAGGTTCTTTCACCGAAATATGCAAAGATTTTGATAGAAAAGGGCATGTAGTTAACCCTTCTTTATGCAACAAATTTTCTCGAGTTTGGATGCCTTTTTTTATAGATTTCATGTGTACAATGAGAGATTGGGGCATGCCAGACATTGCAGCCCCGTATTTGAGGGTGATAGTGGCAAAAAACATAAATTTGATGAACTTTTAAATATGATTTTATCATTTCTTAGTTTCAAGTGGGGATCTCTTTGGTATTTTTAGCTTTTTAAGCCTACTAGGCTCAAATTTATTGGTCTAGGTGTTCTAATAGGTCAAGTAAGGAGCCAGCATCAGTCCCCCACCCTCTTGAGGTTTTAGGTTGGGACAGATAACATGGCGATTCAAATTGGTGCGTCAAAATGGCATATTCATAGTTTAATGGTTAAACGGGTGAATTACGTCATTAAATTTGATGTGCTGGGGTTTTCTAGGTCTTTGAAGATAGTGATGAGGTCTGATTGGCCAAAATGGGTTGGGAAGATGGAGATATATGGCTAACAAGTTCGGATCAATGAGATTTGTTGAAATAGAATCTTTATTTGATGGCATGTTAAATGGGGGAATTTTGGGATGAAATTTGGTGGTTAGGCACTTTTGAACATCCTAAATCTAATTAAAGTGATGTATCTTTGATCATAAGAGTGGATTAATAGATTTAGTTCAGATCATAGTCATGGCTTGTGGTTTATTAGTCAATGAGATGACTAATAATGAAATTTCAAATTTTCAACGATTAAATAGAGGGGTTTGGCCATGAAATTTGACATGGTGGGGTTTTTTTAGATCTCTAAACACAAGGGTGAGGTTTGATTGGTCAAATGAATTTGGGGGTGAAGGCTTATAAGCTTTAATCAATAAGATTTGTTGAAATATGATATAGGCTTGATGATGAATCAAAAAGGAAAATTTTTGAATTGAAATTTGGTGGGTAGGAACAGATTAAGGTGATGAATTGAGTGGATGGTTTTGATCTGAGAAAGGAGTGATTGATCTTGGTAATTAGTGTTTTTGAAGTTGATTGTCATTGATTTGTGGTGGGATTTGCTAATAATTGTATCCTAGTGATCTTGAGGCGATGGATGCATTGGATCAGGGCCGTTAGATAGGAAGTTGGCATGATGAACAGTGGATGCACGACTAATTTATAGTTTCCTAAATCTGCAGGTCATATCCAATTGGATGTCGATGTTGATCTCAAGATTTTCATTTTCCTATGGATTGTGCCAAAAGAGAGAATTTTGGCTTTATAAGGTCTTAATTTGATCCAATTTTGTTTCATAGTTTTGGATTTAAAAGGAAGGTACAAAGAGGTAGGGTGAAGGGATCGAGCAAATATTGGGTGGATGGACCAATAAGACATATTGGATTGGATCAATCCAGTCCAAAATATTTATTAGATTGGATTGGACCTAGTCCATCCGTAACAAATTTATATTGGATTGGGTTGGATTAAGCCAATATTTGGTCTATTGATATAAGATAAGGATATAAGTGTCAATGGACTGGGTTTGGGTTGAAACCAATCTAAATGAATTTGAACAGATTGGATGGTTCAAACATTGAATTGGACCGATCCAAATTGGTCCAAAACATTCATTGAATTGGATTGGACCTGGTCCATTTATAATGAACTCACATTGGATTGGATCGGATTGGACCAAATCTAGTCCAATTGACACCCCTAATCCAAACAAATCATTTTTTCATTAAACATCAGCTTGAAAATCTTTTAACCAAAGCCCTTGGGACAAACCCGTTATCATTCTTGTTATCCAAGTTGGGCATTGTATCACCTGCCCAAACTGAAGGGGTGTGACATTCTCTATTTTTGTTGAGCTTTTCATTCAAACCTCTATTGCCATTTACAAATTACACCACACAATCAATAGCAAGTTTCAAAGCCATAATTTCAAATAAATCCAGATCCTAAATATCCAAGCACTTAGCCTTTGCCAAGAGAAGCCTTCCATGCTTGTTTATTACTACATAAGCAATGGAAACCTCCCCATCCTATCCCTTGATAACCCATTAGAAGTCTTTCGCATTGAATTTGTCCCATTCCAACAATCACATCTTGATTTTCCTACCAACAACATCCATGGGATAAAGAGCTCATCATGATAATGTCTTCTTTTTCTGACAACCCATATCATCTATAAGGTGTAAATCCTTTTTCTATTGATATTCATATGAGTTTGGAAGCAGTACAAATGCAAATATGTACAGCGTAAATACATAATATAAGTTTTTGCACTCTACATATTTGCATTTCTACTCCTTCCAAACTCAGCCTAAGGTGTAATCACAAACCGAATATGATGCACATTGTGTTGATTATGCTTACTGGTATTGTTAGTTAAATTTTCTACCCAATCTCTTACATAGAGTGTTGAATGTTGATCATCATGAGAATAGGGGGTATGTACAAAACAAATGAGATAAGCTCTTCATATCATTACAACCAAACAAATGTTGATCTCATAACTCAAAAATTTGGTCATTGGCTTTGAGTGCACTATGTAATAATTTTCACAGAAGCAAAGTAATGTAGGGATAGAAATGAAAGCTCCACAACTTTTTTCCAGACTATATCATTTCATTGCTGATTACTATTACACTTCACCAACAATTGATAAACAAATTTTACAGAAAAACCAAACTTCTTATCATTTGGATACTGGTTATTTAAAATACTTAGACTCTGTTTGATGATTTAGTGATTGCTAAAAAAAGTACTTGTTGCATAAGTATTTCTTAGAAATACTTATTTTAACAACCACTTAAGGTTGTTTGGTAATTCACTTTTCAAATCACTTATTATGTTTTTAAGCATTTATTGGGGGTGGGAATGTTTGGTAAGCTACTTTTCCTATAAGTGCTTATATTGATACAAATGACAATTTTAACCCTCACTTCACCCATATATATATGCAATGCTTTTTGCATGTTATACTATACATTTTAACTGAAAGTCTATGTGGACCCACACATGAATTGCCATGTGGACCCAAATAATAATAATAATAACTAATATTAACAAATAATGAATAATATTGATAAAGCTTTAATCTTTTTATCCAAAAAGTCAAAACAATGCTTTTAGAAGTCATTTCCAAACATTGCAGCAGAAAAAAGTATACTACTTTTTCTTTTGTAGCGAGGAAGTCATGGTATTATTGACATATTCTCTCTTCTTTTTGAGTTTTTACTAGTATTTCAAATGACTGGATGAATAAAAATGGAAAGCAAGGATAGTATGCGGTTCTTTTTCATTAAATTGTTTATGACTTAAACCTTTGCTTACAGAAAATTGAGATTTTTTTATTCTTGTTTGTTGGAGCAGTTCCTTGATTTCATCTAATGAATGGTGCATTTATTCCCTTGGCCATAAAACAAAAGTAAAACTGATGAAATGGTCCTCTCCATCCAATAAATTGGACATTGAACTCTGTTACACCATAGGTTAAAATGTGATTGTGCCTTGCTATTCTTTCTCAAGCAATGACCAATCTAAGAGGTCTATCATCAGTTGAATACCAGATGAATGAGCATTGAAAGGCTTTTTGTTTATGAATTGTGACATCTCAATTTCCAATTGTTTCAATTATATGTTCTGAGGTTTATTATGTCTTGACCTTTATTTTTCTTTCCTCTTCTTTGGCTCCCTAAAGTGTTCTTATGAACTTGATTAGAAAACTTGAGGAATTGGGGTACTGTAGAAATCCAAAAAAATGCAAAGAGAAATTCGAGAATATTTACAAGTATTACAAGAGAACCGAACAAAGACAAGTAGGTAGCCAAGGTGATAAAACATATAAGTTTGTTGGTAAACTTGAAGCTTTCTTTAATCAAAACAACAAGAATCCTAGTTCTAAAACTATGTCATTCGATGTTACTAGAATCCAAAGCCCAAAAAGCCTATACAGAATCCAAGACAAAATATCATTTCGGATACCAACCCAGTTGATTTCTTGTTTGACTTCAGTGGTGTTTTAGAGAAGATGGAGGGGTGTTTTAGGGCTTTTAGCATCCCAATTGAAGTTGTAGGCTCCACAAGGGTGTTAGTGAAAGCCCTGTTAACAGGCATCTACATTCTCTCACTTGCTCTGGTCTTTAAGGCAAGGCTGCATATCAACAACCAAATCTGGGTTTCGATCCCAGAGTTCGATCCCTGTGGTAGAGTATTCGATCCCAAATTTTTTCTACTAGAGTAAGAAGTTATGGGGTTTGAGCACATGGTTGATTCGATCTTAGATTTCAACATCATTGTTTGCATAAAAAATAATTCGAATATTATCAAAACAAATACAAAAATCAAGAAAAAACAGGGGAGTTTCAAGTTTTTTTTTTAAAAAAAAACCCAAGAAGAAAAAACTTGGAGGGGAGGAGTTTGGTGAACTAACCTCTTGTCGTCGGTGGATAGACGGTGAGGCTGTCGCTGTTAGAACAGGGCAGTTCAAGTGTAGATCTGCGAAGAATAGGGGGAGTTCAAGTTAAAAAAAAAACCAAAAAAAATGATTAAATGAGAAGAATAACTTTAGAAAATAGAAAAAAGTAGCCAAATGATAGGTTTGCCAGCCATTTTTCCTTATTGTCGATCATCGTCGGTGGACTTGTAACTAGGTGCACCGCTACCTAGTAGATAACTCTCATGCGGGGGTATTTTAGGTATTACAAGAAAACATTAGGGACTGGTTCATCCCATTTTTTTGGAGAAGTACTTATTCAATAAGTGCTGAAAAAAACCAACTTCAGGTCACTTTTAAAGTACTTCTTCCCCACTTTTTTACCAAACACACAAAACCACTTAATAACCACTTGATGTGTGGTCTCAGATCTTAAAAGAAGTACTTCTTATAAGTGTTCTCAAACAAGGGATTAATTGCCCATGTGAATGATTTCCACTAATTATCTCTAATAGTGACATGATAGAGACTAATAATATGTAGATATGCATATCATAAAATGTTGGGCGGGCTTAGATTGGATTAGTTGGACTTGGGCTACTTGGGCCTTAGCCCAATCATTAACTTGAGTTTAGGTTAGGCCTGAGTTTTTTTGGCCTAAGCCCAGCTTGAAATTCGGAAACTCAAGCCCAATCTATGCAAAATGCTTTGGTTGATTTAGGTCAAGTCGGATTGAGCACACCCAAGTTACACCCCTAGCTCCTCTTGCTTCAAATTCTTTTAACAAAATTCATGCATTGCATAAATACCTGCTAGTTAAAATTCTATGATAAAGTGGTCTTTGTAGGTTTTGAAAAGCTAGTGTAAGATTAAATGGGAGTGTTCATTTGTTAAATATGTAGTCCAAATTGCCAAACTGAAGTATGGACTAGACGTAGAAATGATTGGGTTTGATTTGAAATAATTTAAAATTTTGTTTTATGATTTTGGTTCAATTTCCTTAAGTTTAAAAATCATCTCTGATGAGAAGTAACTTGGTCATTCGAATGACATCACAACACGTGGCATCCCTAAACACCTACATGACACCTCAACACTAAGTAAGTAGACTATCTCGGCAGAACGACTAGCAACACTTCGTCTAGGACCCACCTATAGTATCTCAGCCCGACCAACCTAAATTACCTCGATGTAAGGAGTGACCTCCTCTGAGAACCGTCTGATCTGACTTGGGTACAGGTAGCGACCTACGAGACGTGCTCACCAATTTACTCTTTGAGCCTGTTATCAAGGCCAAATTCTCCGGGAGTAACAAAACTCGACTGTTAAGCCCACCTACCCGCATCGTCTGCCTCAGAGTCGATCGAACGGACCTTTAGCCTCTGTGCAGGTCACGCAACTGACAAAGAGATTCAATCAGAACATGGTGGGAGCGGCTCTCCGAGAATCTCGAACCCGTTACGAGGCACCTCCAGCCCCTCACACCAATAAAAAGGCATCACTTTCATGAGAGAAGGTACTTGCGATTCAACTCTCGCACACTCTGATTTTCTAGCACTTTAATTCATTCTAAAAATCCTAATTAGCTAACTTAAGCATTGGAATTGCCACCTCGAGTAAAAGCAACTTAGGCACTCTAATTCTATTTCTTCGCAAGTCTCTCTAAAAAACTACACAGCTCACCCATTAAACTTGGCATCTGAGCTACTTCCTAGCTCGGCCCCACTCAACTTGGCGTCTGAGTAACTTTTCAGCAAGAAATCCTCCAATTCGGCATCCTAGTCTAGTCATCAAACTAGGGCGGCATCTGTGAGATGATGCACCATCAATCCCAAACCATGAATCGTAAACCAACTACAACTCTTGAAACTATATTTGATGTTTAATGGAATTGACTATTTCTAATTGGGTTAAGCCTAAATAGAATGGCCCAAACCTTTAGCAATTGTTGCACAACCGTAATAGAACTGTTTGATTTTGTATCTTAGTGGTTTGGTCTGAAATCTTAGTAACATTTGAAGCTTATAGAGATAAGATAATCTTGAGCGAAGGGAAATTTGGAAGCCGAAACCATTAGGGTTTTACCGAAGCTGGACCTGACGAGTTGGGGTTTCAACCGAAGCAGAGCAGATTGGGAGAGATTCTAATAAACAACATGGAGGATTTATCTCTTCAACCCTCCCAAAACCCTAACAAGCCTCGTCCCAAGCGTTTCATCAAGAGCCAGATCCCGGACTCCATCACCAACGATCCTGCACTGAATGCTGCCATCTCCCTCCTTCCTTCCAACTACAACTTCGAGGTCCACAAATGCATATGGCGCATCTTATCCTCTGGTGCCAAGCGTGTTGCCCTCCAGTTCCCCGAAGGCCTTCTCATGTATTCTCTCGTCCTCTCCGACATTTTCAAGGACTTCGCCAAGGTTGATGACTGCTTCATCCTCGGTGATGTCACCTATGGTGCCTGCTGCATCGACGATTTCTCTGCAACCGCTCTCAATGTTGATCTCCTCATCCACTATGGCCACAGCTGCTTGATCCCCATCGATTCCACTAAGGTACCATCTCTCTATGTATTTGTGGAAATCAAGATCGATGTTGATCGTCTAATCAACACTATTAGATTGAATGTCGATACCTTGGCAACGAAGAAGATTGCGTTGGCAGGGACCATTCAGTTCTCAGCGGCAATTCGAGCTGCGAAGCCTGCGCTGGAGAGTGCGGGTTTTGAGGTTTTGATTCCACAATCAAAACCCTTGTCTGCTGGTGAAGTTCTTGGCTGCACAGCGCCGACAATTCACAGAGATGTTGCAGATGCTGTTATTTTTGTTGCTGATGGAAGGTTCCATCTTGAGGCGTTTATGATTGCCAATCCTGGTGTTAGAGCTTTCAGGTATGATCCATATATTGGGATTTTGTTCTTGGAAGAGTATGATCATGCGGGCATGAAGGAAGCGAGGAAGAATGCCATTATCAAGGCAAGAGAGGCGATGAGTTGGGGGATTGTTCTGGGGACGTTGGGCCGTCAAGGAAACCCTAGAATTCTTGACCGCTTGCAGAATAGGATGAGAGAGAAGGGTCTTTCTTGGACTGTTATATTGATGTCAGAGATTTCTCAAACAAGGATTGCGTTGTTTGGTGATTCTGTTGATGCTTGGGTTCAGATTGCTTGTCCTCGGCTTTCAATTGATTGGGGGGAGAGTTTCAGCAAGCCGCTTTTGACTCCATTTGAGGCTGAAATTGCTCTCGGGTTTATCCCAGGCTGGTGGGAGAAAACACCGGTAAAATTGAAACCAAACTCAAACTGTGAGGATAGTTTGGGTTGTGACAATAATGGATCTTGTTGCAAGTATAATAATCAGGATTCCAAAATCTCTGAAGATTCAGCTGCTGATTATCCTATGGACTATTATGCTCAGGATGGAGGAGAATGGAATTGCTCTTACTCCAAGAAGTTGCCTCATCCAACACGGAGAAATCTTCAATCTGCCAAGGGTAACGTAATGGGAATGTCAAAACCACCATGTGAACTGTGCATATCAGAGAAATAAAATTAGAAAAAATGCTTGGAATTATAATTATATGTATCTTACTTATCACTGTTTTGAGAATGAATTCATATTTTGCTTATTTGTGTCCCTTATTTATACTCTTTATATCTTCCTTGTTTTGTAGCTAAATTCTTTTCTTCTACACAGTAAATACTTGTGCTAATCAAGGTTTACACAAGCTTTTTTTTTTGTTGGGGTTGCTGTAGCTCTTGAAGAAAACTGCCTAAGAAAGACAGATGATTAATATCTGTATGGTGCTTGTATCATCCACTATGCTAATATGTAGAGTTATAAAACTTAATTGGGATTTGTAAAATCCTCCTATATGTTGTTTGCACTTTGTATTTCTAGTCTTATGCTCAAATGTAGTAATAAGGTTATGTCAAGTTCACAATTGGAAGTTTACTGTTACCAAATTTGTTAAATCAATCTTAGTTATTCATTAGAAGTAACATGCTGCCATACCACTCAGTTATAGTGATATATGGTAAAAGGTTGGGTAGGCTGTCCTCTAGAAGTCATTGGCTGCTATTTACTACAGCAACTAATTGTTCATAGAATGGGCATAGATGAAAGATTGGTTTGAATGAGAAGAATAATCTTAGAAATCAATGCTTGCAAGTGAATTTTAACACCAAAAGGTAACAAAATAAAGGCTAATTAATTTACAGGTCTTAATCCTGTTTTTCTTTTTTTTTTTTTTTTGATTGATAACAGACAATTGTACTACCTAAAGAATTGGATACTAGGGAAGAGATACAAGGCCATCCTTGGAGGGTTTAATCATGTGCAAAGAGGACTGATGGTGGCATTTCTAGCTAGTGATGCTGTGCAAGTTTAATGTTTTAAAAAGACAAGCAGAGGCCAAAAAAGAAAAAAACTGGCACATATCTTAGAAAAAAATTACCCTGAATGTCTAGTCTTTCTTGGTGGTTCCTCCATTATTTTATTTAACTAGTAAATTTGCACGCCACGTGACAATTTTAGATGATAAAGATATAATATGCATTCAAATATTGTGTCCCAAAGAGAGTAATATTATGTCTAAAATAATTCTATATTAGAGATGTTCTAAATGTTTTCTACAAATATTATGTATTTTTTTTATATTTTGCGGTTTTGTCTTTCTGTAATCTTTATTATTTAATTATGATATAATGGCTTGACCTATTTGACCCAGATGGTTGAATTGCTTACCTACTACCTAACTAGATAGAAGGACAATTTCATTTTTTTGGTTCAATGTTGAAAAACAAATATGAGATTTAGGGTCGTTTGATTTGTGGACATGACCGAAAGTAATTTTATTAGTCTATTTATTATTTTCTTATTACTTTATTAATATTTTCTGAATATATAATTATTATTTTATTAGTATTTAATAATTAATACCTTAGTATTTATTATTAATTTATTACTTTCTTATTAGTTTATTAATTTTTATCATTTTGATTATTTTTTTAAATTAATTTATTATTATTGAATAATTAATATGTTATTATTTTATTATTACTTTAATTATATTATATATATTATTTGTACTTAATTATTCTTATTATTTAATAAATAGTATTTTAGCTTTTTATTATTACTTTGTATTTATTATTTTATTAGTATTTATCATTAATTTATGGATACTTTATTAAAATATCATTATATTATTATTACTTGAATAATCTTATTATTATTATATTTTATTAATAATTTATTATATTATTATATTTTATTCTTATTTTCTTATTGGTTTATTAATATTTTATTATAGTATGATTATTTTCTAAATATTTTACTAATATTTTATTATTATTATTATTATTATTATTATTATTATCTTATTATTGCTTTCAAAATATGTTATTGTTTAATTATGTATTTATTTTTATTGTTATTACTTTAATTATATTATATCAATATTTTATTATTAATATATTATTACTATTTTTATTACTATTAACTTATTATTATTTTATTAGCATTAGGGTTTGGGAGGCCTTTTGTCATGAGTTCTTTATTTCTTGATAGACTCTCGTATGGGAATCCCATTCCCGGTGGGAAGCTTGGAATGCCTATTCCCCCAAGAATGGGAACCGGCATCCCATTCCACCATATGGGCGTTAGCACCTTGAATACATGACTTAATGAGAGGAATTTGAATGAGATAAAAATAATAGTTAAAATTACATGTTTTGACCTTACAATTAAAAATGGACTAAATTCAAATTACATTTTTTATATTTTCATGTGTATAAAAGTAACACTTTTTTATGGAACTTGTTTTTATTTTGTAAAATGAATATACAATTATTAGAGATGTGCTCAAATGTTTTTTTTTTTCAAAATTTATGCATTTTTCTTTTATTTTTTATTTTTTATTATTTAATTATGATATCAAATATTGACACATTTGACCTAAGAGTTGAATTGTTGACCTAGACCAAATAGGAAATCAATTTCATTTTTTTGGTTGGTTTTGAATTTTTATTTCATGTCCATTATCAATAAAAACAATTATTGTTTATAACACTTATTTTTCTTTAATATGATTAATAAAATATCAGAGAAATGGCCCATATTTTATACATTTTTTGTTTTGTGAATTGTTACTATTTTTAAATATTTTATTGTTAACTATGATGATACCATGGATTCACCCAATTAACTTGGATGGTTGAATTGGCTTATCCACCACTTGTATGGAAGAATAATTTTGTTTTTTTTTTTGTTAATTAAAAAATGGATAAATTTTTGAAACCTCTCCTAAAGCTTTTGACCATTGTTGAAATCTCCCCTGAAGTTTCTAATACAGTTGCAAGTAGACCTCCTCTATTACAACTTCTAACAAACGGCACACAAATGTCCAAAATACCTATGCATTTACCAGTGAGGCTAGTTTTTGCATAACAAACAATACAAATTTATGAACAAAAAAAAAGTTTAAATTGCAACTTTGAGGGATTTATATGAAGGGAAAATTTATAAAATAAATCAATTTCGGAAAAGAGATTGGAAGGGTTTGGGGTAGTGATTGACATGAGGGGAACATTTGGGTAAAATACAAAAACCTCTCCTAAAGTTTTTGACAATCATAAAAACCTCCCCATTAGTTTTTCTTTAGCAAAAACCTTCCTTCTATTTTCAAAAAAAAAAAAAAAATCAACAAAAACCTCCCTTCCGTCAATGACCAAGATAGAAAACGTTAAATCGATGATAATTTTTTCAAAATACCTATTTTACCCCTGTATAAGTTATTGTATACCTATTTTTACTAAAATATTATTTGCCCAATCTGAAGAAGAGCTTTTGCCAGCTGAAGAAAAAACTAACTCTCGATGACCGACATTCTCCATGTACTGAGGGTGAAACTTTGTTCCTCCGGTTTCCTGAAAATGACAAGGCGCCGAAACTTCTTAGAGCAGAACTTACGGAACGTTGGGAACACCTCTGTATTACTAATGCACGGCTGCAATGGGCTATTAGGACGGTGTGAGAAGAAGGGTTATGTGAGAATAAAATCTGTTTTCCATAGTGACCATGGATCTGGGGTATTATTTCCATACCTTACTGGCCATAGATATCAGCTCAAAGATTTCCAATTTCTTCTCACAAAATTGGTCCTCACACAACCATGCATTGGGAGAAAACACACAAGTACGAGTTGTTCCTGATGTGTAGCGGAAGGGCTGTAAGATGGATACAGATATGTTCTCGATCAATATGCAGCTGCAATGGGTGTGAGGACCAATTTTGTAAGAAACAAGTCCAAACAATAAGTTGGAGAACTGGCAGGCCAGTTCCACTATAGATAGGCAACTCTTCAATCTTCATATGTTTCTGTCAAATTTTCCCTTGGTAACCGTAGTGTGGTATTGCAGGAAGAGGAGAAACAAAGAGTCGAATACTGGGTTCTGATGAGATGCGATCAGAATTCCCAACGTTCTGTAAGTTCTGCTCTATCATTCACCCCAAGATGGAGGACTCTCTCTCTTCGGAGAACTTGGAGCAAAGATGCCTAGCTATGGCCGGAAACCACCCGAGGACCGAGTTTTATGGAGAGTTTTTGAGCCTGTTGAAGGCGGTTTGACTACTGCACTTGCTGGCTTTCGCACTCAAGCCGGCGCCTTGTCATTTTCAGAAAACCAGAGGAACAGAGTTTCACCTCAGTACATGGAGCCTGTCGGTTTTTTCTTCAACTGGCAAAAGCTCTTCTTCAGATCGAGCGAAGGGTATTTTAGTAAAAATAGGTATATAAAAGCTCATATAGGGGTAAAATAGGTATTTTGAAAAAAATTATCATTAGTTTAACGTTTTTCGTCTTGGTCATTGACAGAAGGGAGGTTTTTGTTTTTTTTTGAAAATAGAAAGGAGGTTTTTGCTAAAGTTAAACTATAGGGGAGGTTTTTATGATTGTTAGAAACTTCAGGGGAGGTTTTTGTATTTTACCCTAAACATTTTAGTCAAATCAACTATATGGTTATTTTGGACATTTTCATGCCTCTTGTTTGAGGATTATAAGAAAAGGAGTCTACTTGCAACTGTGTTACAATGTTTAGAGGAGGTGATTGCAATTACCCAACTTTATGGGAGATTTTCAGCAATGGTCAAAAACTTCAATGGAGGTTTTAGAAATTTACCCCTTAAAAACATGGGTTTCAAATTAAATTTCAAAATATTTATTTTTATACTATTAAAATTAATGGTCTTTATTCCGTAGAATTTAATGATGAAAAAAATATATCTTAAATATAGGGTTTAATGAGAGAATATATCCAATTAGTTTTAAATTTTACATTCAATTTCCATCATTAATAAAAATATTTTCTATTTATCATACTTATTATTGTTTAATATGTCGAATATATAATGCTAAAATGTTTCTAATTATTTTTTATTTTTTATTTCTGTATTTTATCTATTTTTGAATTTTATTATTTTATTGTGGCAACATGGATTAACCCATTTGACCCAAAATGGTTTAATTTCCTACAACTACCTAGATGAAAATACTATTTTTTCCTAGGTAGATTTTAAAAGTATAAGTTTTTATGTTATTGGAATTATTAATTTATTATGTATGGATTTAATTAATATAACTTAATGATGAGAAGAAACAAAAATGTTTTGAATATATGATTTAATGAAGGTGAATGTAAGTTAATTCCTTAAATGTTGGATTTAATGAGAGGTAATTGAATGCATTGAATATTTTAAAATTACATATTTTCAATTAATTTAATATCAATAACTGATTACCCTATTTGCCTTCATTTTTTATCAATAAATTTAAATATGGAGGGGTAACTTTTATCCTTAAAAAATTCCAGAAA